CCCCAAAACCCCAAAACCCCAAAACCCCAAAATACTTTATATGCAATCAAAGAGAGATTTCAAAATTAGCAATTAGATTATAATAATATTCCAAATTTTAGGACTATTTTGAATTCATCTTCTAGTTGAAGTATCAATTTATTCACATTCATCAATCATTTCTTAGTCTTAATCAATATCATCATAATTCTCACTTTTTAGATTGAAAAATTTAGAGCCATAATTCAGATAAAGTTCTTATCCTGACTTTATATCTGACTTGGCTCTAAATAATATCACATTTTATCCTTTTAGTTTTTTAATAATACTATCAACATTAACCTTCTTGGTTTTTATGTCTAAGTGATTGATGTATCTCATTAAATTTCCGATACTCTTTGCATCTGTAAACCCACCGTCTGAAAAATCAAATATATATGAAGGAGCTTTGAATTCTCTGTAAAAGCTTCTTCTTTCATATTGAAATTCATCATTACTCTAATCAACAAACTCACCAGTATAGACCCCGATACAATCTCCTTTTTAAATATTTTATAAAGTAAATAAGCCAAGACCACTGTTGGGAATATCACTCTGACCTAATCCAAATCTCATTTTACTAATCATGCTAAAATCAATCTTATTAAGGCATTTAGGAATAGGATTTTGTTGATCTATAGAATTTTTTTGTAATAGCACTGATTCTTATTAAAAGCAAGAAAAGCAAACTTATGGATCACAAAAGCTTTTTTCTCGAAAGCAAGGGCATTTATCATTAGATTAGCATGTGTCTGGGTAGCATTGGCAACCTTAAAATATCCTAGTGCAGTTCTTAGGATTACAAAGGCAAGATTCTGTGAAGCAATAATCTCTATAGCATGGGCAGTCAGCCTCATTACATTTCTAATCTTATTTGCATCTGCAGTTCTATTACTTAATGAGAGGAAATTCACTATTTTCAATATTGCTTGAACCATTAGCATTTTATTGCTTAAAACTTTCTTTTATGTGTTAAAAGAATTTCTCTTTATTCTTAATGATTAGATATATCTCAAAGCATTTGAGTCCTACTCTAATCTAATTCATAATTATCTGGTCATTCGATATCTAGCAAGGATGAAAATTCTTATAGACCAATGCTTTAATAAACTTAGGATTGTTGAAAAGTGGTAATAAATCATGGACATTTATTTGTTTATCTTTTAATTCATTATTCATAAGTAGAGTCTTGAAACAGTGCTCAAAATTCACCTTGCATTTGCCTTACAAATAATCTAAGTCTAAAGCCTATTCGATTATTTTAAATTGCACAAGCTCTATGTTATTATAACTTTAATTATGCAATTAGCATGCCATTTGATGACAAATTTTACAAATTAAGGTTCTTACCAGTGCAGTCTAAATTAATTTATCTACTAAAATAATATACCTTTTTGACAAAGTTTGAAATTGAGTTAACCATATCGAATTGTAAATATTATTTCTATTTCAAGTTAGTCAATACTAATTCTTGCTCCTCTAGGAATTCTTAATTATTATGATAGAGCATTCTTAACTTTGAATCTTGAATTTAATCTAATCTTTGTATCTATTGCTTATTCTCAGAAATATATCGCATGAGCAAAACCCTCCTTAAAAATTGAGGAAGAGACTTATCAGAGCCCAATATTTGCCCACTTTTTTTTAGCTTCAACTATCTGTATTTCTAAACCTTCTCATAAATTTTTTCTTGATTAATTTCACCATGAGTTTCTAAGTTAAATTGACCATTATCTTGAAATCTGATAGATTGAGATTCACTATGAAGGTAAAAATTTTTCTAAAAACTTTTTGCGGGAGTACTAATATGATGTTCAATTAATTAGCCTGGATGATTCCAAATTTGATCTATTTTGTTCTAAGAAAAATCATTTATCTTAAGCTGAAAGTCTCTTTAAAGCTATATATACCTGCTTTCTTTTTCATTTTTAATAAAATTCAAAATATTGGAACGTAAGTAAAATGTTCTCAATGATTGTTATTGAATTCTTATTTCATTAAAGTTTTCTGAGTGAGTTTAGTCCAAGTTTAATTACATTTTTATTTCTTTATTTTGTAATTTGCCTATTATCTTATTTTTGTTGGCCCAATAATAGCATGGGGTTTTGGGGTTTTGGGGTTTTGGGG